ACATTCCTGTGTTCCTGGATTATGTTTCTCTGATTGACCTTAAATTATTAAACCTTGATGGACCGGGGCCATCCCTGGATAAGCCAAGGATAAGCCCTAAGGCCTTATCAAGGGGTGAACAAGTCAAACACGTCACGTCATAGCCCCCCCCCCCCCCCGCAAATCGCCCCCCTTAGTACGTGAAACCTGGTCGAACATTGACTTGTTGCCCAGGATCGGGATCAGCGAGTCAGCTCTACGCATCGAGCTCCGGTTGGGCTGGCGGTAGCCCAAACACGCGGCCTGCCGGGTCTGATCTTTCGCCCTTGCCACGATTAGTTGGGTGTGGGTCAAAATTAAACCACTAGGGGACTGCATGTTTTCGTCGATGTTTGCATGTTCCATTTTGGGTACCAATTTTTGACCCCGTGCCAGTTGACTGGTCAGATTCTTTATGGCGATTTGGGCCATCCTTTGGTGACTTCTTAGCCCATGATCTTTGATTTACCCAAGAGCCAATGCGTATGGGGTATTTTTGATTGCTGAGCCCCCTACGTAGCACCCACCTCCTCCAGACGGTTTGCACTCTGAGGATGTGTTTTACCTGCTGAGTGCATAACTCCTCAAGTGATGTGGGCATGTGTTTGTTGTCAATGCGCCCTTTTAGGATTTTAAAGGGAAACCAAAAGTCAAACCGCCCAATTCCGGGGTCCCTCGATGTTTTATGCCATGTATCAAAGGAATTTCCTAAACAAAAACAATCCCTGCCAAGAGTGCCACCCTTATTCATATCAGCGAGAGGTGTTCCTCTTTGTAGTATAAGCGATCGATCAGCCTGCCGGATTCCTGTGTGCTACTTCTGAACGCACCGGGTTTTCGCCCTTGACTCATTTTGATGGAATCTCTAAGTTGAGTTGCAAAAAGGACTAGAACCACGCATGGTTTGGCTTGAAACAAGGAGGTACTGGTATGTCCGGTCAAGCAATTATACAAGTGAGACTGCTTCCACCTTTCAGTTTCTCCACTAGGCATAGCACACGCGAATCCTTTCACCACGGAGTTTTGCCTTGACTAACTTTTGGTCTAGGTCCCGAAGTAGAACGTGTGTTTCCAAATTCTGCGGGCAAGGTGGAAATAAGTTTCAATTCAGACCCATCTCCGAAGTGGTTGGACCGAACATCCCTTATAATGATGTCCACCAAAGGGTCCCCGATTGATCTTGGCACCCAAGTGATCTGAGGCAAGCAAATCCCTCTTCCCAGGGACCCCTCAGCAACCTGAGACCCCTTTTTTTCACACACACACACACCCATCTGAGTGTCAACCACACATGCGTTGCCGCACGTTGGGAACCGTGGGTGAGCAAGCCCGGTCTTGACATCAGACACGGTAGGCCCCGGCCCCAAGTTGGGCAAACTTTTGAACAGAAGCCTGGTCCCCATCGCACCCGAGAGTTACCAGGCTTAAGAACTTATAAATCAATTGGACAATGGGCTTCCCCATCAGAAGTTATAAGTCCAACAGGGGCTTCCAGGTATTTGCAGAGCTTCGCCCAACCCTTTACTCCGCGCGCAAAAACCAAACGCGCGCCAAGAACGGGAATGCGCAAATGGCCGAAGCGGCCCCTTCTGGCTCGGTGGGGCGAACCCGCCACAAGCCGAGCGCTTGAAGGGGGACGCGCTTTCAGCCGGCGCTTTCAGCCGTCAGGCTTTCGGCTGCGAATCTCCGCGACGGCCATTTAAAGATCGTTTGGTTCATCCCCAGCAAAAAAAAAGAGGCATAATGTTGACCCCAGATGAATCAACCGTTGATTAGTTGGGGGGTGTCCAACTGGGTGAAATGTGGGGAATCAAACCACTTTGGAGGGCCCAATAAACTCCCCAGAACGTTGACCCCATTTTAATCAACCCCAGGGAATCAGACCACTTTGGAAGGGCAACGACCCCCCAATACTAAACTCCCCAGTTGTATGGGGTGTTTTCATTCGTCCAGAGTCGCAGCGGCCCGGCCCGGATGGGCGACCGATTTTGATTGCCCAGAGGCTCCAATTCGATATATTTAGGGCCCTCAAACAGCCAGGTGAGACCCGCAAACACCTGCGGGGTGTCGAAAGTCGGGTCTTCCATCGAAAGCCCCAGAACACCATCTTTTTGGGGTGTCTAACCATTGAAAGCCGAAGCCAGGAGCCTCTGGGCGCAGTTGCCCAGAGACCTCGTTTCTCGCAATTGGACACGCCTTGCCACCTTGTCCTGGGCCTCCCCGATACGGGGCCTTGGCTCAGGATACAGCCCAAAAAAGAACTGAGTTGTTATATACATACATATATATACACACATATGAGTTAGCATCAAAAGTACCGTCATTCACTTTATATAATAGTGTTTCATGCACGTGTTGTTCTTGTGTCTGTTTTTCTTGATTTTATCTTATGCATATGATACCCTCCCCCCCCACTATCGTGGCATCTGACAACAACCCAGTCTTTTCAAGAGGAAACTGATCTTCCAGGTACCCGACCCACAAATGCCGTGCTAGTGGGAAAAAAAGGAAAATACCCTATATACACTTTTGCCCTCGCAATGTTGACTTCAGTTGACTCCGTACTGACCGGAGCACACCGGAAATGATTCAGAACCACACTAGGGCAGGCACCATGAGCTGGAGTAAACCCGTGGTCAAGCAAGACATGGCGGATGGAGTTGTGGTCAAGAGATGTTCGCAGTCCGTAGAACGGCTAGAAACGTTTCGAAGATTGGCCAAGAGTTCCAGAAACTGAAGAGCGCTTACGCTTTCATGACCTACTGTTTATCGACGTTTGGCTTTTTGAGAAGACCACTTGAGTGGCAAGCAGAAACATAAAATGTATGTTGGCCAATCGTCTCACAAAGTGAGCAATTGCTCTTACGTTTAGTTTAGCTCACAGTGTTCGAAAGGCTGAGACACTTTAGGATCAGGTGGGATCAAGCCCGGATGACTCAAACGAAGAGGGTCAAACTAGCATGACATTTAGCCACATTTAATCACCGTATATATATATATATATATATGTTCATTATATGTTCATCGCCCGTGGTGGAAAGTTTAAGCAGGCTGCAACTGTGACATGTGTCCTGTCAGGAAGATTTGTATTTGCGGCCAAAGTAGAAAACATGGGCTGCTATGTAGGGGCTCCTGAAAAACACATTTGCACTACTTGGGGAGTCAAACGCCAGGTTTAGAGGTTCAACGATATTCTCACAGCCAAAGTAAAGCATGTCATGTGGCCGTACCCCGCATAAAGGGGCCCTTATCCATACAGTTTTCCTTTGTATGAATAATTAAGATAAATAACTTGGGGAGGCGGCCCCCCCCCACCGCCTTTTCACAGTTGTGAGTGGGAATTCAATGATCATTTTGAATATCCAGTGTACCTGGAGGTTGCGGCGTGTAAGAGCATCGGGGTCCAGCAACTGCAGAGTTACGCGCACAAGATCTGCCACAGTTGCTCAGTGGATTCCATTCCCTGAAGCATCCTGAAGCCTTCTTTTTGTGTTGGGTGGGTTCCCATCAGTTCTCGGCGCACTTCGGAGAAGGTGACAGATCTCAGTGCCGCCGTGTGCTTAGACCACACCGCCATGCCATGCGCGTGCGCCGGGAGTCCTTGAAGGGCGGCCTTGGAAGGAAGCTGAAGAGAGCAACACTTCCAATCCTCCTCTCCGCACAACCCCCCCCTCCTTCACATGTTCCCCTCCAACCCCCAATCCTCCTCCCAACCATCCCCCCAATCCTTCCCCCAGCCCTCTCAATTCTCCCCCTCCAAGCCTGCGACATAACCATTCAGGTCGCGCCGAAAACGGCATTTGCATGCGCAAGTTGTTTGACGGGCCCGGTACAATACCGTGTGCGAATAGAGCGCATGTGCCACGTTAGGCCGGAGCTGGGAGCACCAGTCTTTAGACCGCGGAGCGTGCTTCACCCAGCTTTCTTTGGCCTTGTGCCCTGGCCGACCCCAGTTGCCGGCGGCGAAAAGGAGCTGTTGTCGATCTACCTTTGCAAGGTAGTAGAAGAGTATTCAAGTAGGGTTTTTTTCAAAGATTCATCCAAACGTCACCTGGTTCATGAGAGGATCCTCCGATTCTGGTCATTAAATGGGAGAGTCGCAACCCGGTTAAAATGTAATTATGGCCTGGCTCCGGATTAACAGACCGCTGCTTGATTTCGATGCGGGGGGGTTGTTTTAGAGTTTTAGAGGCAGACCGTCAGACCTGTACTTTTGGAGCAAGTAATCCACCCCCCCTGTTGCATTCTTGGACTGGGCCAATTGTCGCAAGCTGCCACAGGCGTTGCATCCTTGGAAGTTTATTATCAAATGACTTCCGCAGTGTGCAGTATGATCATTCACCCACCAAAAGGTTTTTAGATGGCGTTACCAAAAAAGCAACGGGAGGACAACTTCTGCAAAGAAACCACGTGTGCTGAGCAGTCACCTAAAGTCAGGGGCTAAACAACTACGCAGAGTCGCTTATGATCCTGACTAGGTCCCCCAGTCGTGCCCTTTTACACTTTTTTTGTGGGGAGGGTTCCCCTACTAAAATAGACTACAGAAAAAATGGGTACCCTTATTCTAACCTCTCTACTGGAGGACCTAGCTGACTTAGTTTGGTTTTCAGGTATCCCAGAACACCATTCTAGATGTTATGTACGTCCTTGAACCAGATTCCTATGGCGCGACGTACCTGTCTCTGAGTGCCTGGAAAAAATGGATCTATCTCAAATTAGGGGAAAGGCTCTCGCTGGCGTTGAAGGGAACCGAAAGGAATCTAACTGGATATTTGCTTTTTCCATCGTTTCTTTTTTGGGCTTTGCTGCACAGGGAAGTTCAAGGGAAAGCGGGCCCGTTACTCAAAATCTGAAGAAATCCACCTTTTTTTGCAGGTTTCTCAAGAAAGGGACGCCAACAGAAACACAGCTGTCTGATCAGCAACGCCATACAGAGTGGTTTCGTGAGGATTCTTTTTATGCTTTGATTGATCCCCAAATATGATCGCCTCACTCCAAGTAACATGGCGCCTGACAAAAGGTACCTCTAAATTCTGCCACAAATGCTGTCATGATGTTTGGTCTGTTTGCTGTCTGCGACCTGCACCTGGCAATTGGCTTGGCACACGGAGTGGGGGAAGTCCGGGATCGATGTCCTGGCCCTTCACTCGGATCCAGTTTTGTCGCGCCGGTCCAAAAGTCTTTGGCCGGCTGCTGCCTGTCTGCTTGGTGGTTCCCGGCCCTCCCCTCATTTTTTTTTTTTTTATATTTGTTTAGTGCTTAGTGGGGATTTCCATTTGAGCCGCTAAGCATTAAACTTTTAGCAAGGGATCTGAGGACAGCCCCGTTTGTTCCAAAAAGGGGCCCTGCCTTTGTGTTGGACCCTCTTGTGGCCTCCGAGCAGCAAAGTAAAGAGCCCCCCAAAAAGAGCCACATTGAATCAGATCCTTTCCGTTTTACTGGTGTTTTTAATAGGGTGAGCGAGATTTCATTTCTGGGCAAGGGGATGTTTTAGTTCCTGAGTTGAGGCACTTTAAACTTTTTTGGGGCATGGTGGATTTTAATACGCTGTTTTTATAACCTCGCCCGACAAAGACTGTTGCCGAACTGTTCTCCGCTGGCCGTTTGGTGCCGAATCTCTCATGGGCCCTCATTCCGGACCGCTAGTGTTGCCCTCTTTCCTGTTTTCAGGGTGGGTGGGTCCCTTCAAATCTACCGACCAAAGAAGGTCGCATATTTTTCCGCGGCACTGCGCGTCCGGATAGGGGTGGAATTGGTCCACTTTGACAAGGGCTGGTTTTTTTGCCCCTTCCCTGCTCTTGATTGTATCCCAAGTGCTTCCGGGCATCCCTGCTAGTTTGGTTCCCTCATGTGAGCCACAATCAAAACAAGGGTAGATGAAGGTTAGCCAATGAGAATCCCAACCATAAATAGGATTCCGCCGCCGTTTTACTTGTTTACATGGGTCTGTGTAGACCATTTTAACACCAGGTTTCGATCATGACTCATGTAAGTGTGGCATGGTCTCACAAATCATTGTAAGACCGGGCTGCGGACGACCGAAGCTGGGTCGGGCCAGAGTATTTAAAACTTGAGAAGGCTTTGTCGCTGCTTGCTCGGCGGCATGGTGCGGAAAAAGTCGGAGTTTGGCCGCGTGGAGGTTGGTTTTTGGATCGTTGAAGACAGTTCCAAAGTAACTTGTTGGATGCAGAGCCTTTGTGGATAGTATTTGAAAGTTGTTTTGCTTTGATGGAGCTGATTTTGAAATGCCATATGTTTACATTGAAGCGCAACGCCATACATCATGTCCGCACTAATCAGCGAGCGAGCAAACTTGAGACTCCCGTTTGGTTGGTTGTGAAACGAGTACATGCGCACCCACAAAGCCAAGCACCTAAGCTACCATTTCTGCCATGGTTAAAGCACCTCTTGTTTGTTTTTTTAGGGGTCATGAACCCTTAGCATTTCAGGCAAGGACTACTAAGGGAGCCATGACCACGAGCTTTGACCATACTCGAGGTCCGAATCACTGAAGGTACACTTTCGGGGTTGGTTTATAGGGAAATCGACAAAGGAAGCCAACGCCCGTTGTGAGAGCTCCGAATTCCATTTGAGTCACAATCAAAACCCAGGCATTTGGGGCCAATCCCAGCCATAAATGGCTGCAGATATCCGGCTTGCTAGTTCTAGCATGCTTCTGGGCAGACCATTTCAACACCGATGGGTTTTGATTGTGAGTCGTTGTGAGACCCCCGAATTTGGCACCGACAAAAAAAGCGTGCAGACGCGCGCTGTAGTCGGTCAGTCGCCAGGGCTCGGCTGAATGAGCTCACGAACTACCGCATCTCCACGTGCTACGAGCTCTCGCAGGACCGCGAATCGTCGCGGTGTTTAAAAGGGTCCCGGCGAATGTTTGCTTCCCAGATTTCGACCCCACATGAAGAAACCCCGTTTTATTGATAGGGTGTACCTGGGATCAGTGGGGAATTCTCACTTTTGCAGGGGAACAGCCTCCCTACGAGTAAACCAGGGTTGATTAATATCGGGTCAACATTAGCCTGAAGGCATGTCGCCGTTGCATGACTTGTAACTATTGTTTGTATGTGGTCAGATTGCTTGGTTTGATTGCTTGTTGCGTGCTTGCTTGCTTGCTTGCTTGCTTGCTTGCTTGCTTGCTTGCTTGCTTGCTTGCTTGCTTGCTTGCTTGCTTCCTTGCTTGCTTGCTTGCTTGCTTGCTTGCTTGCTTGCTTGCTTCTTGCTTGCTTGCCTGCTTGCTTGCTTGGTTGGTCGGTCGGTCGGCCGGCCGGTCGGTTGGATGCTTGGTTGTTTTGTGTATTGTTTGTTTGGTGTTGTCTTTTGGTTGTTTGCTTGTGTCTTTGTTTCTTTGTTTGCGTGTGTTTTTTACGGTGTGTGTGTGTGTGTGTCTGGTTGTTTGTTTGTTTGTTTGTTTGCTAGTTCATGTGGTTGCTGGTTGTTTGTGTGTGTTGATTGTTTTGTGTTTTGTTTGTTTGTGTGTGTGTCTTGTTTGTTTCTGTTTTGTTTCTTTGGTTGGCTGTTTGTTTGCTTGTCTGTCTGTCCGTCAATATGTGTTTGTTTGCGCTATTTAATTGTTTACTTGTTTATTTGTTTTTCTGCCTTTTCTTTCTTTACTTTTTCTTTCTTGCTTTCTTGTGTTCATCCTTTTTGTTATTTGTTCCTGTTGTTTAGTTCTTCTCGTCGTTCATGATTGGCTGTTTCGTGTTTGTTACTTTGTTTGCATGTCTTAGCCCAATTAATTCGCTGGTATTTGTGTTTTGCAATGTCTTTTTCCACATGGTATTGTTCGGGTGTGCGTTTTTCAACACACAGGTGTTTCTTTCTGTCTTTGCATGTTTGTCATTTTGCAGTTACCTCTTTCTGTCTTTTTGTCTTACTGTCTTGCTTCCTTTTGTTTGCGCATTCGTGCGTGTGAATTGATGTGTGTGTGTGTGTGTTCGCTGCTTGGCTGGCTGGTCAGTTGGTCGCTTGACTTGTACGTATGCTGAAATGCAATATGCGTTGTTGGTTGCTTGCTTGCTTGGTTGGATCTGTCGTGAAGTTTCATTAGCTTTCGTGTGTGTGTGTGGACAACGTTATTAGGTGTTCGCTGCAGATAAGTCGGCTTGTCGCTTTGCGGCCTGGCTGTGTTTTTGGTTTTCCGCTTGTTTGCTCGTTATGTGTTTCAGATGTTTGCCTTGTAGCTATTTGTGATGCATACAGTTTTGAGGGGACTGCAATCTACAGCGATGCCAAGTGCGTGGCCTTGTTGGAGAAGAGTACATATGAGCTCATATGGAGCTACCCGGCACCGAACCCCCGGCTTCTGCTCTGTCGCAAAGTTGCCGGCAGAACCTGACGATGTCTTTTGTATGTCTCTTACCTCATGGTTTTTACCATCTTGACTCCTGGTGGTGAATGAGACTCCGATGAACAAGCGATTTAACTTGCCCATGGTGCCCCATGTGTGCGCCAACTTAATAAGCGGTTCTATTTCCTGGCTTAGGATTTGAGCGAAGTTGAGACATACAGTTACAAGCATGTCGGCAGAATTCAAAGGGGTCTCTTGTAGAGGGGGGAGCTTCCCTGGCAAGAAAACGTTGCACTAAGAAGGCTCAGCCTTGAGAAAGGACGCCGCACCGACCCCCGCCCCCCACCTCATGCGGTTTCGCAATGATTCGGGCTGTAAACATAGAAGCACCTCTAGCATAGAATAGTGGTCCCATTGAAGAGGCGACAACCCCCTGTGAATAGTCCGGAGATGTTGATAAATCCAAAGCAGGCACACGATTAATTTTGTCAGTCAAACCGTACATATATGAATGTGCAGATGTTTGGTTTTGTTGCATAGGTTTGTGCTGTGTACTGCTTCATGGAAACCACAAGGAGGCTCCAGATGTGAGCAACGGTGAAATACACGGAATACACGGGTCATTTGGCAATGACATTGTGCACACCAAAACCACCTTTGGGAAGTCGCGTCTTTCTCACCCGATTGGGAGCAATGAACACTGGCCGTTGAACCCCTCGAAAAGGGTTTACGCCAAGCAACTTTTGTGGCCTCACCCGTTTGGTTTGTTTGCTGCATGTATATATATATATATATATCAGAGCATATATATATAACTATATATGTATATATATATAGTCTCTCTCTCTCTCTCTCTCTTCCCGCGGCCAAAGGATCTCATTTGCTTGAAGCAATTTGTAAAAGCCAACACGCTGCGGAAATGGACGTGTCCGGGTCTTGATGTTTGGGTCACTTTCTGGCTATACCTGGCTTCGTGGGAATATTGACGGACTTTGGAAGGCGTGATCAGCTGGTAGAAATGCACCTCGGGTTCAAAGGGGCGCTGCCCGTTTTTGACACCTCACGCTTTGTGTGGGAAATCCAAAGTGTGACTACCATACCCCTGAACCCCGAGTACAGGGCGCTAAAAAATACATGGCTGTGAATCATTCGGACCACCTTCCCAGAACGCCCCGTGTGGATAATGTTCACCAGAGGCTCCAATTTGAAATTCATACCCATCTAACTTAAGGTCCATGGATACAGGGTCATACCATGCGTGATTATGTCCCTCAACTCAGGATAAATAGTTGTGTCTCTAAATGGAACACCCCAGTCCGCTTGGTTTCCTTTCGGCCAGCCCTTTCGGGTCTCGAAACAAGAAACACACCCTTGCTGGTGCGATAGGTATGGACTGTGGGAAAACGAACCAAGGGGATTCCCTTAGCTGAAACCAGCAGTAGTTGGAGGGTGTATCTTGGATTGACGCTTTATTCTTGCTGGTGCTTGGTAGACTCAGGGAATGAGCCTAAACCGGGCGTTGGTGGAATCCACCGGCTTGCCGAACAAAGGAAACCACCAGTTGGATGGAATGAACCAGAAGGGGATTCCCGAATAAAGGAAGCCACCCGTTGGATGGTTTATCTCAGGGTGAGAGGGAAACCAGCAGCAGTTGGATGGATGCGGGAATGAACCAGAAGCGAGTTCCCTTAAAGGAACCCACCAGCAGCAGAGGGTCTTTTCAGACTCAGAAACCATTTCTCCTTGGAATGAACCCAGGCATTCCCTAGAAATCATCCAGCTCATTGAAATGAACCCTAGGAAACCACCCGTTGGATGGTTAAGGATCATGCCCTTCCCTGAGCACCAGCAAGCAAAGCTAGGCTCCTCTAATTGGGCTACCCTCCCTCCAAAAAGAAGCCCCAAAACCTCCTCCCCGGATCAGCCGAAAATGTGCCCGGCCGCTCCTTCCCGCCTCACTTGCAGCACCTTGACTGCTATTGGGCTACCTTCCCACATTCCATTTCTCCCTGAGCCAAAGCGCCTCTCTCGCCGCGAAAAAAAGAAGAAAAACAAGTCTGCCAGGGCCACGACCTGGACCTCTGCGCGGCGCGGAACATGAGCTCCTTGCGCCCTGGGCGCGGGTTTGGGATTTGGATTTGGATCTGGACGTTTGGGCGGTTTTCGGGGGAAAAGCCGGGGGGTCGTTTGTGTGGAACACGGCGGAACACGGGGCTTGGCCAATTTCGGGGGAGTTGCTTCGGAGTTGCTTCGGGCAGAACGGGCTACATGGGTTTTCAATACTTTGGGACAGGGTTGATTCCAAGAAGAGTTTGGTCCCTCTTTCCACAGGTGCTTTGTTCAAAGAATAGCGGTTTAAGCATGTGTAAAAAGTTTCGTCAAGCCAGGGTTTCCTTTTAACAACCATTGCCAATTGGAGGTCAATTTTGCAGATGTCAATGGACCGACGCCCCACCTTGACCCTGGAAGCAGAGGCGACGAGGGTGCTTTCTTTGAAAAAACAATCACAAGGTATGTGTTTGCTTTGGCCGCTGGGCATTGCTGTGCCATTTCCCAATGTGCCACAACAAACACCTGGGTAGATAAGTTTCGTACGGGACAGTTCAACCAGTTTGCGACCGCCCAGTTACCTCTCATTTCAGGAAGACACCCGAGGGGGAGCCCTCAAGAAGCCGCGGTGAGGAAGGCCAAATTTGGCGGGGCAAGGTAGCTTTGCCCTTTGGCCGGGCGGGGGTGGAGGGCGGTGGGGGGCTGGCAAAGCATGTGGATTTACATCAAGAGCGGCTGCCACTGGCTGACCCTGGTCTACAGGAAATGGGCGCAAATCAGTTGGGCAAAGTCCTCTATTTGGACACATATCCATATGGGTGTGTCATTTTTTTGCGGTACCTTTTGTGTGCTTTCAAGGGGGAAACACAAGTAAAACCACATTTTGTTCGGCGTCCAAATCTGAGAATAAGACGAACCACCCAAATGGGCGTGTCTTAACCTAGGGGTATCCTTTTGGTTTCCTGTAGATCCATTTGGTTAAGAATTGTTCATTGCCTCTGTAATCTATCACTACTGGACATAGTTTTTAGTTGTTCCCAGGCGACTTCGGCAAATGAAGGTGGACATATTTTCAGTTTTTCCCAGGCGACTTCAGCAAATGGAGGTGGTTGTCCTTTGCAAAACCAAAAGCACCTCAACCAAAAAGACATACCCAGCAGCACCCTCCAAGGGTGGCTTTTCCATTTGTACCTGCAGTGCTCTTGGACCATTTTGAGTACAACTGGAAAAGCCACCCTTGGAGGGCAGCCATTGCAAGAATGGGCCCATGAATTTCCCCAACACAACCCCCGAATAAAACAAATTGACCCTCGAATATAATGATATTAACCTCTATACCCAGCTGGTTCCCCAAGAACGAATTGACCCTGGAACAAAAATGACATCAACTTTTTCCCAGCTGGTTCCGGCCCCAACGGCCCCAACGGCCCCCCGTGGCGGTTTTCCAAGTTCCCCAAGGCGCGCGCTGTGCCCGCAGACCTGCGGCTGCGATGACCCGCTGGATCCTGCAGCGGCGGCCTACGCCACCACGGTCTTCGGCTGCCCCAAGTTCTGCATCGTCGAGAGGAGACGTGGAGCGGGTCCGGGAGAGTTTCTCGGCGCCCTTGACCAGGGCTCCTTAAAAGATCTCCATGTTCTGCTTTGTCTTGAGCTCTTTGAGCAGGGCTCCTTAAAAGATACCTCCATGTTGCAACCATGTGAAACATGGCCGGCTTTTTCCACACCGAAATAAAGGGGAAGCCACCATTTACAAGTTGCAATGTTCAGGTGTATAATGTAAGGTTCCCTTCCTTGAGCCTCAAATGACATAGAAGAAATATATATATTTTTTGGTTGATAGGCGGTTAATGACATAGACCAAGTTGTTTATTTGTGTTTTTTCTTGGGCGGTTCGTGGAAATACGTGGTTTTCTTGGCTCTTCTTGGCTTCTTGGTTCCCTTGAATACTATCTGCGCCACGGGGGTCTGGCTGAACAAGCCTATGTCGTCACCAGAATCGTAGGTCACCAGGGTATTTACCTCTAGTGGTTTGTGGTTGTCTTTTTTTGCCGTTAAAAAAAGGGGCATTGCTTGTTTTTGCTCTATTACCTCTATTACCTCTTTGCTTTTTTATGCCTCTAGTTGTTTATCTTTTTTTTGTTTTTTCGTCTCTTGTTTACCTCTGGTGGCAACTGTATCCCCTGGGGGGTTGTAGCCGTTCAGCAAGCCCCAGGTGTGCCCAGGCCCGCCGGAAATTGAGATCAGAGGCATCTCCTGACTTCCAAACATGGCCCTCGCCTGGGATCGGGGGGTTTGGGATTAATCACCCTTGATTCGCCAGACCTCATGTGGTGCTTTTTTTTCCCCAGCTGAAAGATGGCGCCTCTGAAATCGGTTTGCGGCTTGGGCCTGCTTTTAGGGCTGCTCACCCGGGAGGGTTCCAGCGCTCCGGCCACAGAGGTCTGGGTACTGGCGCATCGTGTCCCCTTCACTGCGCATCCAGGGCAAAGATTCGAGGTCCCCCAGCTAGGTGCCCTTTCTCACCCCCTTTTCTGGTTGGGAGGGTTCCCCTACTACAATAGACTGCAGAAAAAAGATGGTACCCTTATTCTAACCTCTCTACTGGAGGACCTAGAATTTGTTCGCTGCGTTTGGCCCGCCAAGGCGTATTTACCATCGGCCTCCGGAAGACCCCGGATGAATACACCCCTGTTTATTGATATGGGGGTATTCCCCTCCAAAAGTGCTAATTAAGTCTCCACTAAAACCAGGCACACCCCCATGTTATATAAACAGCAGTGGAATAATCTGGGGTCATGACCTCCAAGCCCTGCAACTATAGGCATCCTTTTTCTTCGCGCAGGAGCATGTCCACGGAGCTGAAGGTGAAGCCGTGCGAAGAGCCCTGGAAGCAAGAGAGCTCCGAAAGGGCCAACAGCTGAAATCACGGTTGTGGGATCAAGGGGTTTCTCCCCGCTTCTGTGATACAAGGCAATCCCCCTTTATATGAGCAAAATAGTCTTTGGAAGCCCTTTCTGTTGTATTACAGAAGTGGTCATTCCCCACAGCCCTGGCTGAAATGGAATGAGCCCGAGACCAACCATCCCCGATTTGGCTTCGCTATATAAGGGAATGGTTCATTCCCAACACCCGGAACGGGTCATTTTCTACGGAGTCGACCAGCACCGGCAAGAAGACTGAAGCGCCAATCTTCTAGACCTAAGGTTTGGTCCTTTGATTTTTCGTGTCTAGGGGCCAATTGAGCCCCCCCGTCCATTAATTTGGAACCTGACGTTTTGGGGTGCTGGAAGACCATTTTCCCTTAAAGTGGAACATTTGGTGGGTTCCATATAGTGAGCAGGAGGGTAGGCAACCCTGGTTTAGTGTGTTAACCACGGTATTAAGAGCTTGCAGTGGAACCCTCTGATACGAGCTGTGAGCTAGATCGACTGATATGCAGATATGACATAGGGGCCCTCGCTGTTTTTGCTTTACGGGTTATGCGTCCGAGGCAGCCATTGGTTTCGTGTTGGTTTTAATGAGGCCTTTTTAGCTTTTCGAGGAATATTGAACTCCAGGCGGATACAAATTGGTGTACATTGGTCTTGTATGTTTTGTGGAGCTGTTGGCTCAGTCGGCAGCCGCCACATATTTTGCTTCGAGGCTCCAAGACATGATATTCTCAGGGTTGTCCAAATAGTGCAGTGTTGGGAGAGGATGTGGGTGTGTCTTTTTGAGGGTACGTATCCTTTTTGGGTTGTCACATGGGCAGCCAAACAGAAATTACACATTTGTAGGTTGACACATCCCATATGTGATTTGGACTCAGGCAATTCGCAGGATCCTACCCTTGGGTGATGTCAAAACCAACCCATGTTTATCTCAGATATTGTGGACCTCTGTTTGAGAATTGTGCCCTTTAATTGATAATCTCTATGCTTGGGAAAACTCTTCCTGTTGGGGGGGGGGGTCGAAAAGAAAAAGAAGAAAATAAAGGAAGTAAGGAGCGATTTGCACTGCTTTGGGCAAAAGCGATTTGCAAGTCAAAGGGCTTCGTGTGGCGGAACAACTTTCTGAATTTCAAGCAACCCCCCACAGAACAACCCCCAAACCTAACAACGAAAATCCCAAGCCCCCCAAAACCAAAATACCAAGCCCCCAAACCTAAACCCCAAAAGCCTCCTGTGCTTAGGTCTTTGCAACGTCCGGAATGCTCTCAGGACCTACCTCCAGAGGACTTCGCTGGAAATATCTTCATGAAGCGGTTCTTGAGCAGCATGTTCGACTACATCACCTCCAAGCAGGAGAGATATCTAAGGCTCTCGATTGAAGGCACTGGCCGATTCAGAATCTTGGAGCTGGAAGCTGCGGTGTCATGCATGTCAGCAAACCGGGGAGTTTTCCGGACCTGTCCCATTGTCAACTCACAGATGAGCCACAATCAAAACCGATTCGGGTAGACGAAGGTTAGTAAGGGGCAGTCCCAGCCGGAAATAGTTGCGGAATTCCGCCTTTCTACTTCTCTACATGGTTCTGGGTTCACCAGTTGTGTACCAGGTTTTGATTGTGACTCACATGGGTTTTGATTCCTTTGGAGGTTTTCCTTGCAAGATGAATAGGATAAATGGCTTTCTTCAGACTTTGGGGTTACTTGAGTTATCAGGTTACTTGGAGAGATTGCCTTGGGTGTCCATTCGACTTGCTGGGACAGAGCAAGGATTCCCAGGTTTCTTGCAAAAAATGGCTTTAGGTGTTTCAGCATTCCCCCTATGAGAGCAAAAACCTGCCAACAAGCCCAATGAGAGACAGAGACGACATAGAACACTCTCTCGCTCTTCTTTACACCACACAATTATTTGCCAAGCGTTCTCTTGAGCAAAGAGAGATAGCAAATACACCAAGCAAGCACATACAGAACCAAATACAAACAACAGCTATGCCGAATACTAGCTTAGCAGTTAGGCAAGCCAAAACAACCAGGCAAACAACACAACACCAGCTCATGAACCAAACAGCGTGGCACACACACACACACACCAACAGCACGTTCAAGCCAAAGACAACGCACCGACTCAACCCCGCAAAACACAGCACACCAAAACAGCAGAAAACAACAGATACAGTCACACACACACACACAGGTACACACACACACGTACACACACACACACACACACACACACACACACACACACACACACACACACACACACACACACACACACACACACACACACACACACACACACACACACACACACACACACACGCACACGCACACGCACACGCACACGCACACGCACACGCACACGCACACGCACACGCACACGCACACGCACACGCACACGCACACGCACACGCACACGCACACGCACACGCACACGCACACGCACACGCACACGCACACGCACACGCACACGCACACGCACACGCACGCACACACACACGCACACACGCACGCACGCACGCACGCACGCACACGCACACGCACACGCACACGCACACGCACACGCACACGCACACGCACACGCACACACGCAGACACACACACGCAGACACACACACACACCAGACAAACACAGACACACACAGACACACACAGACACACACACACACACAGACACACACACAGTTTATTGAGTCCATCCAGTATATCCACTGGAAGGGGGTGTGTTTGGGAGGCTTGCCATGGGTTGCCAAGCTTGAAACACCAAAGTCAGCATGGATCTTGTCACCAAAAGGAAGCCAACAACCGAAAGGACGTTTAGCAACCATTCGAAAATACATTTTTTCCCCATTTGAAGCATGGCTTTTTCCACCAACATAAAGGGAAACCGCCATTTACAAGGCAATGTTCAGGTGTATAACGTAAGGATCCTTGGAACGGGAGACCAACCGGTGGCTTGCCTTGGGATTTGGGCGGCGGCGGCCTTGGATTGGGTCGCAGGAGCTGCGTCGCACGGAGATCCTGCAGTACACCCAGGAGCTGCGACGCACCTTCTGGAACCAAGTCCCGGCCGGGGGCCGGGGGGGGGGTGCCATGGACTCCTAGAGTCTATTTTGCAACCATGAACCCTAGAAGAAGGAGGTTGCAAAATAGACCCTACGTGTCCATTATAGGGGGGGGGTGCGGGGGGGATGGTGGGCAGACCTGAGGGGCTTTCTCTTGCAGCGTATTGTTGACCCCATATATAAATCAACCCCAGTTGTTGATAGGGGAGTGTGCCTGGGTCTAGTAGTCTAGTGGGGTTCGAGTTTGCAAAACAGCGGCCACGTGGCATGGGGGGAATTCCACAGCCGACAAAGTAGTCGACCTTTTGACCCAACACGCGCATGGCCACGCAAATGCAACTAGCGCGTAGGTTTGGGACAGTAGGCACTCGTAGTTTGCCATGGTTTTGGTCGATCTGCAACAGAGGCCGCTTTTGGGTGGCCCCCCCAACATAGGTTCCATGTTGATGTTTCATGGTGTTGTGCGTCTTCGTTTTTTTGGTGGCTTCTACCAGTTTGTCGTCGCCTAATGACCACTCCTCTGTAGTTCGGCATTCGGGAAGAAAGCCTCCGCTTTGTATCGGCAACTCCTTTTGGAGGGACCCTTTTTGGGATGGGGAAAATATGCTAATTATGGGCAATCACCAAGCGACGACACCCTTGGAACACTTGGTTGTTAAACGGTTCTGGGTGGAGCATGTCATGCGTTGTTCAACGCCACATCGGAACAGCCATTTGCTAGCGTTGGGTCATTAAGACAATGATATGAAGTACCGTCAAAACTGCTTCTGTTGAGTTTAGTATTCGGCGTTTCGTTGCTATTGTGAAAATGCGCAAAACCATGGCAAACGATAGGGGACTCTCAAAAATACGATACCCCTGGAAAACGATGGAAGCGCTGGACATCGATAGGGGACTCTCAAACTAAGTAGCGAAACGGCCGTAAGCAAGTCATTTTGACCGTGCCTCATATTGTTTTTGTAGTCCATTCTTGGAGCACCGCTAATTGTTGGTGATTTTGTTTATGTTTGCATGGCTTTCGATTCAACTGGTGGCTCTTTTGGTGGACATCATTCAGTGTTTTACGTCCTCAACCCTTTGCTGCGAGTGTTTCAACCATACTTCCTGGCCATGTGTTTTTCTGTTTTGCCGCTGAACAAGTTTGCCTACGGCCAGGGCCCTAACAAGACGGAGTCTCTGCTACTGGCATCCGTCTACTTCAGCGAGGGCAAGTGGATGGAGGACGTGGCGAACGGCGTGTGGAACCTTGGCACCTCGGCGATTCTCATTTCGGGACCTGTCGCGAGGTGAATCGAGTCAAAGCAGGTTTGTGGGATCAAGGGGTGTTTCCCCACTTCAGTGATACAAGGGACTCTCTCCTTTATGTGGGGGAATACTCTTTGGGAAGCTTGTATCACAGAAGTGGTCATTTCCCACAGCCCCGTGCCAAAGCAATTGCTGGGCGATAGCTCCGAAGCTGGATGTTAACGGATTCTTCGGGCTCCTGTGCTGGGCGTGGGTCAGATGGCACGGGCGAAGGGTTGCTACGCGCAAAGCCTTGCACGCTGGTTTGCCCGCTCAGTTTGTTCAAGCAAATGTCCTGCTGACTTACTGAGTTTCTGGACTTTATACAGGGCTCCATAAAAGATCTCCATTTTGCAACCGCTTGAAACATGTTGCTTTTTCCACCAAAATCAAGGGACACCACCACAATGCAAGATCTCCACTTTGCAACCACTTCAAACATGTTGTTTTTTCCACCAAAATCAAGGGACACCACCATAATGCAAGATCTCCATTTTGCAACCACTTGAAGCACGTTGCTTTTTCAGCACCAAAATCAAGGGACACCACCATAATGCAAGATCTCCATTTTGCAACCACTTGAAGCATGCTGCTTTTTCCGAACCAAAATCAAGGGACACCACCATAATGCAAGATCTCCATTTTGCAACCACTTGACACATGTTGCTTTTTCCAGCAAATTCAAGGGACACCACCACAATGCAAGATCTCCATTTTGCAACCACTTGAAACATGTTGTTTTTTCCACCAAAATCAAGGGACACCACCACAATGCAAGATCTCCACTTTGCAACCACTTGAAACATGTTGTTTTTTCCACCAGGTTCAAGGGACACCACCATAATGCAAGGTCTTCACTTTGCAACTACTTGAAACATGTTGTTTTTTCCACCAAAATCAAGGGACACCACCATAATGCAAGATCTCCATTTTGCAACCACTTGAAACATGTTGCTTTTTCCACCAAAATCAAGGGACACCACCATACTGCAAGATCTCCATTTTGCAACCACTTGAAACCTGTTGCTGTTTCCACCAAACTCAAGGGACACCACCATAATGCAAGATCTCCATTTTGCAACCACTTGAAGCATGTTGCTTTTTCAGCACCAAAATCAAGGGACACCACCATAATGCAAGATCTCCATTTTGCAACCACTTGAAACATGCTGCTTTTTCCGCACCAAAATCAAGAGACACCACCACAATGCAAGATCTCCATTTTGCAACCACTTGACACATGTTGCTTTTTCCACCTAAATTAAGGGACACCACCACAATGCAAGATCTCCATTTTGCAACCACTTGAAACATGTTGTTTTTTCCACCAAAATCAAGGGACACCACCACAATGCAAGATGTCCATTTTGCAACCACTTGAAACCTGTTGTTTTTACCACCAAAATCAAGGGACGCCACCATAATGCAAGGTCTTCATTTTGCAACCACTTGAAACGTTTTTTTTTCCACCAAAATCAAGGGACACCACCACCATGCAAGATCTCCATTTTGCAACCACTTGAAACATGTTGCTTTTTCCAGCAAAATCAAGGGACACCACCATAATGCAAGATCTCCATTTTGCAACCACTTGAAACATGTTGTTTTTTCCACCAAAATCAAGGGACACCACCACAATGCAAGATGTCCATTTTGCAACCACTTGAAACCTGTTGCTTTTTCCACCAAAATCAAGGGACACCACCACAATGCAAGATCTCCATTTTGCAACCACTTGAAACATGTTGTTTTTTCCACCAAAATCAAGGGACACCACCACAATGCAAGATCTCCACTTTGCAACCACTTGAAACATGTTGTTTTTTCCACCAGGTTCAAGGGACACCACCATAATGCAAGGTCTTCACTTTGCAACTACTTGAAACATGTTGTTTTTTCCACCAAAATCAAGGGACACCACCATAATGCAAGATCTCCATTTTGCAACCACTTGAAACATGCTGCTTTTTCCGCACCAAAATCAAGGGACACCACCATAGTGCAAGATCTCCATTTTGCAACCACTTGACACATGTTGCTTTTTCCACCTAAATTAAGGGACACCACCATAATGCAAGATCTTCATTTTGCAACCACTTGAAGCATGTTGCTTTTTCCACCAAACTCAAGGGACACCACCATAATGCAAGATCTCCATTTTGCAACCACTTGAATCATGTTGCTTTTTTCCAGCAAAATCAAGGGACACCACCACAATGCAAGATCTCTATTTTGCAACCACTTGAAACATGTTGTTTTTTCCACCAAAATCAAGGGACACCACCACAATGCAAGATGTCCATTTTGCAACCACTTGAAACATGTTGTTTTTACCACCAAAATCAAGGGGCGCCACCATAATGCAAGGTCTTCATTTTGCAACCACTTGAAACCTGTTGTTTTTTCCACCAAAATCAAGGGACACCACCACCATGCAAGATCTCCATTTTGCAACCACTTGAAACCTGTTGCTTTTTCCACCAAAATCAAGGGACACCACCACAATGCAAGATCTCCATTTTGACACCACTTGACGCATGTTGCTTTTTCCACCAAAATCAAGGGACACCACCATAATGCAAGATCTCCATTTTGCAACCACTTGAAGCATGTTGCTTTTTCAGCACCAAAATCAAGGGACACCACCACAATGCAAGATCTCCATTTTGCAACCACTTGAACCATGTTGCTTTTTCCACCAAAATCAAGGGACACCACCATAATGCAAGATCTTCATTTTGCAACCACTTGAAACATGTTGCTTTTTCCACCAAAATTAAGGGACACCACCATAATGCAAGATCTCCATTTTGCAACCACTTGAAACCTGTTGTTTTTTCCACCAAAATCAAGGGACACCACCATAATGCAAGGTCTCCATGTTGCAACCACTTGAAACATGTTGCTTTTTCCACCAAAATCAAGGGACACCACCACAATGCAAGATCTCCATGTTGCAACCACTTGAAACATGTTGCTTCTTCATCACCAAACTCAAGGCACACCACAATTACTGCAATGTTCAGGCGTATAATGCCTCCGGATCCCTGCCCAACGATTAGGCAAAAACTCCTCGCGCCTGGCGAGATGGCTTTCGGGCGAGGTCTGAACATCCCACACCCCCGGGGCATGCGGGGCTGCGACTTTCTGAACTCCTGGGAGTTCGAGATGATCACAGGCCGGCGACTGGCGACGGGCGGCGACTGGCGGCGGGCGACTGGCGACTGGCTTCGTGGGCGATTTGTTTTAAGTGAAGAGCCTGCTAAGGTGTCCCTGTTTGTTTGTTTTTTTTTTTTGGGGGGGGTTGTCAAACCTGTTCAATCCATTTGGCTAAGAAATGTGGTTTATTTGCCTCTTTTGGATTTGAGCGGAATCTATCACTACTGGAAGTACTGTTATTTTCTCCAGGGGACTTCAGCAAATGGCTTTTGTTTTATCAGCGTCCAATGAGGTTTTTCAACTTGCTTCAATGTGCTTTGGAGACACGAGAACCTCCTTTCAACATCGAACTCCCGAAATTGAGGCCTTTGTACTTTCACTTGTTGGAGGAATCAAACATTGAAGTGTCGTTGCCATTCGGCTTGTTTTGAGGTTGGCTTTCTCGTTGATATCTCCCCAAACTATGGAACTGCCCTCATGCATTGGCTCGGGCCATCGCCGACTGCCATGCCGCACGCATACTGCATTTGCATTTCGCCCTGCCTCGCCCATGCACAGCGGAGCTTTCTCGCATTTGTGCTTGGCTCTTCGGCACGTAGGCCCCGATTGTTTGGTTTGGCTGCCATTGAGTGGGTAGGCTTTCAGTACCTCATTTCGCTCTGCAGGGACAAGCTATAGATATGGAGTGATGGAGTGTTTTGCCCACAGGGAAGGAAGGAAGGAAAGAAGGAAGGCCCTTTGCGTACCATTTATTTATATCAGTACAAGGGAGAATGCCGCATGGAGGGGGGTGACTCCTTTTTTCTGTTTAGGGGTGGGATTTTGGCTCAAACCATCTGGAATCTGTTCTCAAGCAATCCGAGCTTGAGCAAATCCCTTCCACAAAGAACCAAGTGTCTTTTCAGTGTGACTCAATCAGAGCAAGGGTGCGCCACCCTTGGATAGAAGCATGTTATTTTTAGTTGGGTGCAAACGCTGAGGGAAAGGGAGGGGGGCAAGTTGGCAGTTCCCACAGCGTGGGCCTAGTGTAAAGGGCACCAGCCCTGCGTTGTCTTGGTTTCGATGGAACGCTGGATGAAGTTTATGGTGCCTTGCGTAGTGCAGAAGTACACTTTGGCAGCTCTAGATTTTTGGGTAATGACCTCATGTTTAAAAGGTCATGGAGACTCCAGGTACCCTACCCAAGCAGCCCAACAGCGAAGCCGCAAGCGACGTCAGGCTCCAACTTCTGCCGCGTCCGCGGCGATGCTTGGCAAGCACTGACGTCATGCGGACGGTTTAGCTTGACCATTTTTTTCGGGTCTTGACCATTACCCTCCCACCGACTAACATGGAAGTGCACAAATCCCCTTTCCAAGAGGAAAGTAGTCTCTCTACACGTGTCTGTGCACAAACCCATGTTAGTCGGTGGGAGGGTACTAACCTCATGTTCCTACCGTTCTGACTTAATCTAGTTGGCCATGGGTCAAAATCCCCTACCCCCAGTGAACATCCGAATCCTCACTAAAATAGGTTCTGAAATGTGTGGTGCAACTAATTACCCCAAAATGGGATCCCAAAACGGTTTTAACCCACAGTCAGCGGTGTTTTTGGCATGTCGCAGACTCAAGTTGCTCTTTTACCTCCAGTTTCTCAAGAATATGTTATTATTTTCCCTTGTTGGTTTTAAAAAGGAATTCTTCACTACTGGAAATGTTTTTTTTTTTCCTGAGGCCTCAACCAATTGGAAGTTTAGTCTTGGCCATGACGCAGGAGAGCCACGGCACTGAGGGCAGGCCAGACTTGACCCTAAGCCCTCAATCGGGTGGATGCCCCTTCAAAGGGAACGAACAGACCATCTCAAACTTGTCTAGGTTCCCCAGCAGTGCCCTTTTACCCTTTTTTGGGGGAGGGTTCCCCTACTAAAATAGACTACAGAAAAAAGGGTGCCCTTATTCTAACCTCTCTGGAGGACCTAGTTGTGAAGGGCAACCCGCCAGAAACTAACCAGCCTCCAAACTACCAAACTAGGGGGTATACAGTTTGCAAAAAAGGTACTTGCTTCGATTTGCCACGGGGCAAATGGGATGAATGCACCCGAGAAAGGCCTTCGTGAGGCGATACCAGTGATACCTCTATCTTCCCACAAAAGCTCGACAAGTAAACTTCACCTAGCAATATCCCTCTCCAGTGGAAACGAAACAAACGCATCTTATGGCTGGTGAAGGGTGAAGCCACGGTGGGAAATTGCTTGGTTATGGAATTGGGCCAACCTTTCCTAGCCCTTCCAGGCAAGCCACTGTAGGTAAAGATACTCTGACCTATCCTTTTTTGCCTGCTAGTCTCCCCCTGGTTACCTATGACGGAAAGTGGATTGGTTTGTCCAGGGCGCTTGTACATGCCCCTGCATACCCCTTGGCCAAATGAACCCAAAAGGCCTGCTGATGTCCATACCCCCTTCCCCAAGAGGGGTATATACCCTTACAAAGTGGGTTGGAAACCAGGGCATGTACTTCCACCCTTAGAGTTTGGATGTGGGGGGTTCCCTAGCCAAAAGCTTAGGTTTGATACTCTTACTTATCTTCGTTTACATGATAGTTTCCCCTGGTTGCCTATCTTCAATTTGCTTAAGAATATGCTATGTAATCAAATTAGCTTATTCCTAAGTGGCCTAAAACGAATGATCTTCCTGGATAATATGCTTATGATCTTCCCCTGGTTTGGTTTCAATGGGAATCGATTTATCACTGAACATATCACTACCATGGGGCTCCAGGAAATGGAAGGGTCGGTCATGGAAGGGTTTGGTGCTGGTTTGGTTTCCTCGCCCCAAAACAAACACGGCTGACTCGGTTTCCTCGCCCCCCCCCCCAAAAAAAAAAAACGGCCGAATTTTGTGGGTGGGTCGGTTTTAATATGCTCGAAGGGCTGAGGACGGGTGTTGGGGGGTTTTCCCCGCCCCAAAGTCGCGTTTCGGCCGAGGACTCTTCGCCCTTCAAGAGCCTTCGCAGCCAATGCCCTGTGGCCTGCAACTGCCGCAAGGGCCAGGACGATTGCCCGGGCACCTGCCCCGTAGGCTTCTGATTTCTGGCTGTGGAGCTCAATGTTTGTTTGTTCGAGCTAGGGTTCCGCAGGTTGTGGTCTTTGTTTCCATCTACCAAACCTCGCTTTGAGCAAATTGAGCCAAACCTAACCTTGGATAGCAAACCGAACCTCGCTAGGTTTCCCTTGCCAAACCTCGTGTGGCTATTTTGGGTACATCGTTTTGAGCCACAGCTATCTGAAACCAAAAGATCCGACGTACCGAGCCGAGAGGCATGCAGGAAGGCTTGGTTTGAGGCAAGACACCGAAGCAACGGTAGATTGTGAATTGCCTGGTACCCGAAATTGGAAGTCGAACTTCTAGTGTGTTGTTATGGTTTATCATCAGCTCCGGTAAGGAGCAATAAGTCGAATCTGCTGATCTGTCAGCTTGGCTGTCCTGCGAGAGATGATGAATAGCAAAGTTGCTTGTTGGAACAAAGATGTTTAAAGATGCTCAGGAAGGTGTGCTGTGTTTCAAGTTTGTCAAGTGCAGGATTTGGTTGTGCGTTTGTTTGCAGAGCACACCAGCTTGAGTATGCCCAGCCGTTCCCATGGTGCCATATTGGCTTCATGATGCCTGACGAGAGCTACCAGCGAAGGAGAAAGACGCAGAGTGCATGTCAAGCGCCGAATCTTCCACAGGGTCACTCTCACAACACGGCGCCTCAGTTGCTCATTTGTCTGCCGATTCCTTGCAGGTGGATGGAGCCTTGCCCTTGCAGGTGAATGGGCCACTGATGGGTTTCTTGCGTGAATATAGCAAAGCCAAGTGGAATGGAACCCAAAGAACCACCAGGTTTAGCGGAATCTCCTTTTGAGGATTGGACCCCGTTGGGTTTTATGTAAATCTGAAGGAGGATAAGTTGCTGGTGAAAAGCCGACATGGCGACCGTGGCGCATGTGCTCGTATGTGTCCACGTGATTTTGATTTGTTTCGGCACATGGTTTGCGTAGTTTTACAGGATTTTGACCTGCAACACATGTTTTGGATCGAGGCATATTAGACTCGACTCCATGGTTCATTTGGGGTTCCACACGTGCGGCTCGCAATAATTTCAGCCACAAAACCATTTGCCTGACTAATTCTACATTCCCTGCGCGGAATCTGCGTATTGTGACCTTGGTTCATATATATCTTTGTCGGCTCTTCTTAGTGTTGTCTTCCCAATAGCCACTGACCTGAAACAACGGCAGACTGCATCAAACCACCAAGCTCCAGCGCCTTCTTGTTGCTTCCAGTCACTTGGGTGCTTTGGGCGTTTTTTGACCAAAGCGCCCCGATGTATTTCCTTCCCCGAAAGCTCGGGACAAGCGCCGAAGCCCTCGCGCCTCCCAGGCTGAACCGAATGTTCGACGACCGAAGAGCGCAAGAGGCTTGCGCGAAAAACATCTTCGAAAGGGGTGTCCTAGTTTTATCACACCCAGTTCCATCTACCTGTAAGGTCGCCTTTAAACGCCGGGGAACTGGCTGGTTACCTGGTAGCTGGGATCTGCAAGCCTGCACGCTCGAAAACCTCAAGTCTGGAAGCTACTCATGGATGTTCAGGTCCTTGGCTTTGAACCCCTGGCTTGAGAGTAAATGGGAAACCACCAAGCCACCACCAATTATTTCCTGCTTGAGTAGCTTAAGTAGCTTGAGAGTGTCATATTCTATTGCCAGAGCTAATCGTTTGCCCTTGTGGCCTTTGAGATTTGTTGACGTTCAGTTCAGGCCCAGTGCACGGCAAAGTCAAAGTACCGCGTGTACCGCAAAGTCACTCACTACTCCTTTTCTCCACAAGTGTGGTTGCCTTGTTTCGCGCTCCATGCGTTCGCGTTGAAACAAAAGCGAGGTGCATGACACGATGGGCTGCGATCTGTGATGTGTGATTCGCACCTTTGCATGATATCTTGTGTCGTGATATGATAAAGTAGGCCAAGCAAATTGCCATTGTTTGGCCAGGCAAGGCCTGAAAGGATTGCACTCGTTGTATATTTAGGAGATCCGGGTGCCACCCTGAAACCCAAGAATGCGTTCGCCGGGTGGAAGGTCTCAATTAATGTACATGTTATTGTTGGTTATCTGTTTTGTACGAGAAAGCTGTGATTAAGCGATGGTGAAAGGGATCAAGTGGTCTCTAAATGCAGCGGATGGCTAAGAAGTTGTCTGGCAACCCTTAATGTGTTTAATTAGGAAAAGAAAGCAAAGTAATGGGGATTGTGTAATTTGCCAATGCAAGGAATGTCTTCATGGCTAATTTTTGGGTGGATCTGTTCACTTCAGCTTTTTGGTTGAAACAGGGGGATTTTCCGTATTGGACCCACAAGTTGAGCACTTGTTGCAGAGGGGTCGTTATTGAACCATTGGTCCCCTTCCTTGGTGTGCCGTTTTTTGGCTCAAATGGGAATCCACCTTCCGGAACACCCCCAAACCAATCCAATCCACAAGAGGGAAGCTGATATTCCTGCCGATTGAGTAACTTGAGAGTGTCATATCTTATTGCCAGACTGAGCTAACCCTTTGCCCATGTGGCCTTTGAGGTTCCTTGTGACCAACCACCAAACCACCAAAGCACCAGACCACCAGACCAGCAAACCACCAAGCCAATCCAAACCAATCCAAACCAATCCAGACCACCAAACCACCAAACCAATCCAGACCAATCCAGGCCACCAATCAGAGGGTGACCACCAATTAGATGGAAGCTGATGGTTCCATGAAAATAGTGGGGTGAGCATAGATCTTCATAGCCATCTGGGTAGAAGCCGGGTCGTCAAAGCAACCAAGATGTTGTTTCTCTAAACCATTGGCCCCCTTTATTGGTGGTTTGGATAGGTGGGGACTGGGGATTTCACATCTTGGTTCTTAAATTGGAAACCACCCCGGAACACCAAACCAATCCAGACCACCAAACCAATTCGAGGGAGAGGGAGGGGGAGGGAGCCGAAACAACAAGCCCTAAGACGCCCTTATGAACAGCTGATTTGGGCTTCCTTCCCCCTTTACCACCAGACCAATCCAGACCAATCCAGACCACCAATCAGAGGTATTCAGTAGCCATCTTGGTTAGATAATGGCATGGATAATGGATTCAGTATAGATCTTCATAGCCATCTTGGTAGAAGCAACTCGTATCGGGTTTAGAGGGAACCACCAAACCACCAAACCACCAAACCAATCCACCCCAATTCAGACCAATCCAAACCAATCCAAACCAATCCAGACCAATCCAATCAGACAGAAGCTGAATTGCTCCCCTTTAGCTTTTGGCGCTTTGGCCCCAGGTGGCGCGGCTTCTGAACTCTTCGCGGCCGGTGACTCTGCGCGTCTGGCGGCGACCCGCGCCTCGGCGCGATTGCAACATCTGCGCCGTGGGGTTCGCCGCACGCCGCACGGGGCGTCGAAGCGGGGTGGGTTGGCAGTGGTGGTCAAAACCCTTTGGGGATCCCATTTTGGTCAGGTGCATTCACCACCCATTTAAATGTTGGGCTATTTGAGTGGGGATTGGGACCACCCATTTAGTTTTTGGTCTATTTGAGTGGGGATTGGGACCACCCATTTAATTTTTGGTCTATTTGAGTGGGGATTGGGAGGATCCCATTTTGGTTGGCAGGTGAATTCACCACCCATTTTAGGACCTATTTGGGTGGCTGGCTTGAATCGGAAGTTCACTGGTACGATTTGGTTTTGGTTTGCTACGTGGGGCGCTCTTTGTTTTGTTGCAAAGGAGGTGGGTTCAAAGGCAAACCCAAAATGAATGCGTACTGCACAACTCCGACAGGACTTTCCAGTGGGTCAGGTGGATTGGGCTGTTCCTGAGCCAAGACTCGGGTGAGTGAAGGTTAAGGGAAAGTCTCAATAATAGATTATTAGATGGGTGCGGATCTCCGCCCTTTTGGCTTATTGCTTAATTTACATCTGCTTGCATCTTGGGATTTGGGGGGACCCATTTAAAAAATTATGACCTCCACAAGAACCAGGGGAGGAAATCCCAAACCACAAATCCAACCCGCCGATGAAGGAGGACCTGATTTCTTGGGCGTCCCCGTGCTTGTCCTCTTGCTGGGCCACCAGTTGGTTCACCAAGCCACCAGGGATGGTTCACGAAAATTCCGTCATTGCCTCAGTACTTGGATGTTCGGCCGAGTGAGTTGGCGGTTCGAAAACCAACCCACTAATAGCAGGGCTACTTTTCTCAGAACTTGCGAGTGGGCTATTAGAAGCTAGGATGAGCAAACAAGCTAATTTGGCCGAACACCCCAGCACCTTCTTTTCTGTGAACAGATCCAGCAAGAAATCTGAAGGGAAGGATAGTGTCCGAGCTGAATGGACTTGCGGATGCTCAAGTTGCATGGCGCAGGAAACCACACCAAAGCACCCACAGCGGCCGGAAGCTTGGGCTTTTGAGGAATGGACCGTTTCTTGCATTTGCTGAAGCGAGTAGTTTTTGTTTTCCCCTATTGGTTTTGAAGGGAATCTATCATTGCTTTTTTTTTCCAGGGGGCTTAACCAAGTGGAAGTTTTAAAACCGGTTGGGTTCTATGTGTTTTTTTCCGACCGGGCAAAACGAAACCCCCAAAGAAGACCCCCCAGTTAAGTTCACCCCTGGTTTCCCTTGCAACAACCATTTTGTTTAGCCCTCAACTTTTGTGAGAGTGGCTCGTGGATTGGTGAGATCCAAGGAACAGACTGACTTGGACTTCGAGCACGCCAAGCAGCCTGGGTCCAAAAGGGGCATGCCAATCTAGCCCTGGTTTGCGTGTCTATTCTTCCCCAGAATTCGCTCCCCTTTTTGTTTTTTTTGCTTTTGTGGGGTCCCTTTGTTTCCCACTAACCAGGCAAGAAAGATGATTTTTTGCTGGGGTCCTAATTCCAGCCTAGTATTCTGTTCAGGGAGCCTTCTCAACCCTGTTGTTGACACGTAATTAGGTTTCGGTTCTGTTCATGTTTTGGGGGGAGGGGGGCAAAAAACACTGTTGCTTGCTACCACACCAGTAACGTTCACACAATGGCCCACTCA